AAGCTACATCGTTCGGTAATTTGTTCCAGTAGTTAATGGTACGAATAAAGAAGTCATGAGTCCTTAGTTTAGTTTTGCATATAGGTTTTAGTAATTTTAAGCCATTAGTTCTTGTTGGATTCAAATTTAGTCTAAAGTTATAATATTTCGAGCAATCTAGTTTAACATAACCATACAGAATCTTATATGTGTAAATTAAATCTTGTTTAATTCTACGAACTGAGAGAGAATCCATGTTATGTTGTAGAAGTGTTCTTTTATAATTAAAATTAAATTTTTGTTAGGAGAGAGGCGTCGTAGAAAATATTTTCGGAGTCCTTCAATTATTTTACCTGTTTTGCGATGTCTAGGGGAGTACTGTAATCAAGAAGAGACCGAACGAATGTTTTGTATAATTTGATAAGAAAACTTTCAGTTTTGTTCTAAACGAACGAAAAATAAAATTTAGTATCCTTGAGGATTTCTTTACTATGGTTCTACAGATCTGAAGATCGAAATCGAGATTTTCATCCATGATTATTCCAAGATCGGAGATGTGTGAGACTCTATTGATTAAATTACCATTTATAAAAAGGTTAGGAAGATCGAATCCTTTAGAGTTGATGTGAAGAAGGCTACATTTTTGAAAAGAAAGGGTAATTTTCCTGTCATATAGCCAGTCAGCTATTCTGTTGAGGTCCTCCTGCAGTGGAGATAGGCTATCCGTTCTACCATGAGAATAATAAATTTTACAATCATTAGCATAAAGATAAATAGTAGAATTTATTACCACTGTGGTGATATCATTTATATATAATAGAAATAGCAATGGCGCAATACAATTGCCTTGGGGAACGATTGATTTAGCAGGTATCATGTCAGAAAGAGTGTTGTTAACATATACAGCCTGGTAACGATCTTTTATGTAATCTGAAACCCAGTTATAGAGGTCCCCTGTTATGCCATAACTATTAAGAGTGACCAATAATTTGCTATGGGGAACAGTATCAAAAGCCTTAGCCAAATCTAGATACACAACTCATACTATTTTTCCATTGTCAATTGATGCTGGCCAATCAGAGAGATTTGCCAATATTTGTGAAGAAATAGATTTTTTTGTACAAAAGCCATGCTGATAAGAAGATATAAAATTATTGGCATCAAGATAAGTAAGCAATTTGTTGCAAATCAACCTTTCAAGTACCTTGCTACCAACACATTTTAGGCTAATAGGTCTATAATTAGAAGCGTCATAGGTGCTTCCTTTTTTATGAATGGGAATTATATGGGACAATTTCCAAATTTTGGGATTAAGGCCAGACTTCATAATATCTTTATAAATTATAAATAGGGGAAGACTCAGAGAGACTGCGCATTTTTTATAAATTATTTGTGGAATGTTATCGGGACCAGCTGAAATGGACGGCTTAAGTTCATTTAAGGCATCATAAACATCCAGTAGTTATTTCAATCTCGCAAAGAGAAGTGCAACAAATTCGATTTACGTTAAAACAGGAAGTATGAGTATTATCCTCAATAAACACACTAGAATTTCGTCTTTTTATCTTCAATAAATTATTATTTTGTGGATTAAATGCCATTATGTTGCATTTTAAATCAGCCTTCCTGGTCCACTTTTTCGCTAATTATCTAACTATAAAAAAATTTCTTTAAAAATAAATGTTTTCAAGATGAAATTCTCTTGCTAAATATCGTCTTTGATATATTCCATTCATTTTTGATTTTCCAGCCAACTGAAAAAAATTTTGTGATGAATACTGGCAACGTTCCTAAGTGCGCAGAAGTACTTGAAGTTAAATTTCCAGTATGTTAATATTGTTAAGCTCTGAATCAAATTTCAATTTCATCAAATTTTAAAAATCTTTCGGGAAAAACCATTTATCTGAAAAATATTTAAAAAGCATTCAAAGTTTGAAAACATTTTTGAAAACAACTGATTTTCTAAATTTATATTGTAGGCACCTGGTCCTAAATCATTGCCACCATCGGGTGAAACTTTTAGCGACGTGTTTAATATGACTGCTACAGCTATGGAGCAGCTCTTGTTAGATATGAAGGTGAAGGGTCCCTGTTGGCTTGAAATTAGGAATTACGGTGAATTTCCACAGTTTTAATTTTATGTGATTCTTTTTATGTGAATTTTAATTTTATGTGAATTTTATGTGGAATTTTATGTGATTATGTAATTTATGTGATTAAATGAACAAATTTTTCGTTAAAATTTTTGACTCTTCTGCATCAACTTCAACATTAATAAAAATAAATTTTATAAATAATAATGAATTTTAATATGAATTTTTTGATTTGGTTTTATTTATTTTTTGAGAAAAACCAATTCTTTCAACATTTTTTATTTTATTTTAAAAAAATTTGCTGAAATAATTTTATCGATGCAATTTATAGTTAAATCTGTGCCTCATGTTAGCTATTCGTCTTATGAATTTACTGTTGATATGGAGAAAAAGGAATCAATTATTGCCGTGAATTATGACGATCCACCTCCAGCTTTACAATTGTTGGCTCTAAATATTTGTACTGCTCCAAATCAAAATAAAGAAAATGAGGTTAACACTCCATTTTCTGGATATATTCTCGTTTTTTATTGTTAAAATTATAAAATGTGCATTTCAGATAGTGATGATTTCTTATTTGGTGAATAAAAAATGCTGCCTTCAAGATCCATCGGCTTTAAAGAGTGAATTGGAGCGATTTTGTTGTAAGTTTATGAAAATGTAAATTATATGCGATGTGTGGAAAATGTGAAAAAGTGTTGAAATAAAAACTTAAATTTTTAGTTATTTTTTGCCCATTTTTTTCAGTGATTTCAAAGCCTTCTCAGTGCACAATTCCTTTCGACTTGAGAAACAAACTGCATCAAGAAAAACTGGATATATATGTTGCAGAGACAGCAAACGAGAGGCATTTGCTAAGCCAATTTTTATGCAAATTACAATCTTTAGATCCAGATATTTTAGTGGTTATTTATCATTTCATTTTTTATATGTAATTCGACATTTGTTTTGTATTTATTGTGACTGAATAGAGCGATCTTCATTATGCGTTAAATTTTCAGGGCCATGACTTACCATTGCAATTATCTCTTTTACTTGCTCGATTAGATAAATTAAAAATCACTCAGTGGTCGCGAATAAGTCGGTTGAAGCGGTCGATACCTATTAAGATGCTTGGGCGTTCTAAATCATCGAATTGGGAGTTAACGGCTGGCCGACTTCTGCTTGATAGCAGGTTTTCAAATTGTCCTTTTAATCCCTTTTTAAATTATTTGCATGATGATTTCGAGGGATAAAGTTATTGGATTTAGCATGGCTGATTTAAGTAAAACAATATTGTTTCGATTTTTGCTGTTATTTTGTATTTTGTAGGTCATCAGCAATGGAGTTGATCAAAGCGAGGAGTTATGACTTATACGAACTTTCCTTAAATCTCCTAAATATCGATGGAAATATCGATTTTAAGAGTGTTGCATCTTGCTACTCGTATGTATTGTTTCTGGTTAAAAAAGGAGGATTTAGCTGTATAAAATTTTAAAAGGAAATTTAATCCATTGATTTTCAGGAATTCAAAAACTTTAATTAATTTTATAATAAAAAATTGGCATGATGTTTGGCTTTCATTGGCAATACTTATTGAACTTAATGCTCTTCCGCTTTTTATTCAAATAACACAAATAGTTGGTGGTGTTTTGGTCAGTTTTAACCTATCAATTTGCATTACAAATAATGAAATGTAATATTTTTTTGTTTTATTTATAAATCTTCAGTCGCGAACGTTAATGGGTGGTCGAGCTGAGCGCAGTGAGTTCTTACTTTTACATGCCTTTCATAATGCAGGATACATTGTGCCTGATAAATATCAAACTACTTTAAATGGACGAAAAAAAGGACGCCTAGAAGTCGATAAGGAAGCTGGCGAGAAATCAGCAAGGAATTTAAATAAAAAAGGATATCTTGGAGGTCTAGTCTTGGAGCCAAAAAGAGGTTTTCATTTTTATTCGTAATAGTGATGATCAACTAATTAAGATTGCGAAAATTTTAAAATATGGAGTAAATATATAAAATATTAGAAATATTTTCGGAATAAAGGAAATGAGGAAATAATTTTTTTTGAATCAGATATTCTATTTTTATTTTATATTTTTTATTTTCCAGGGCTTTATGATACATATATATTGCTATTTGATTTTAATAGTCTTTATCCTAGCATAATTCAAGAATATAATATATGTTTCACAACAGTTGATCTTTCCGCTACTGTAAGTTAATTCAAAAACATTGAAATTATTTCGTAGATATTATATATTAGCCATTCATAAACTATGAGTTGTAGGAAACCGATTTTCCTGATTTACCTCAAGAATCTATGGAAGGGATTTTGCCTCGTGAAATTCGAAATTTAGTTGAACGACGCCGTGAAATTAAAAAATTAATGACGGAGACGAGAATATCGGAACAGCAGCGACAACAGGTTTCTAAATTTTGTATGATTTAAATTTGAAATTTCTGGTAATTTATTTGTCCAATTATTTGTTCAATATGATCTTCCAATATTGATTTTTATTGTTTTATTTCTTTATTTTTTTTGTTTCACTGGATAATTTTTAAGTTATCCTGATTGAAGCGTTTTAGAAGTAATGTTCTTGGAAATAAATAACATTATTGTTTAGTATCATATTCGCCAGATGGGACTGAAATTGATTGCCAATAGCTTATATGGTTGCCTTGGATTTCCACAATCGCGATTTTATGCTAAACCATTAGCAGCCTTAATAACACTACGAGGGCGAGAGGTATATTGTCATCTTCAGTTAATCTTGTCTATTCGTTCTCATTTCAGTAAGCAGTTTGCAGATTTTGATACACACTAAAGATTTGGTGGAAAAACATGGTTACTCAGTGATATATGGTGATACAGATTCGATAATGGTCGATACGGGATTAATCAATTTCGAAGAAGTAAAATTAGTTGCAAATCAGGTCAGAAATTTTAATTTTGTTTAGTTAGTTTTAGTAGTGGTGAAATTTTGAAAATTTGAGCACAATTTTTATCGTCAAATTTTATACTTGGAGAGCTTGAGATTCCTTGGTCTTAGTGAATGAATAATGAATTAACTACTAAGAATATTCGAGAGAAAACTATTAAAAAAATTTGGAAAACTTACAACATTTGGGATTCGCGAGCTGTCCTTCGACCTAAATAAAAGTTTTCATTCGATTATATTAATTAAAATTAAAAAAGTTGAAAATTTCCAGATTAAAAAGCTAGTTAATAAATGCCATAAAAAACTGGAGCTAGATGTAGATGGAATTTACAAGAAATTACTCTTACTGAAAAAAAAGAAATATGCTGGTTTGTCAGTTGAAAAAAATGATGAGACGAAAATAAAACGTGAAATAAAAGGTCTTGAAGTTGTTCGACGTGATTGGTCCTTATTAGCCAAGCATGTCGGCAAGTATGTCTATTATTATTTGATTTTGTTTTATTTTTCTGATATTTTTAAATAGCATCAAATTTTTGATAGAAATCGATTTTTGATAGAAAAGGTTCCATTTAAAGCTTGGTAAAAAATTGAATTAAAGAGTAAATTAATGCTAACAGGTATTTTCCAGTGAAATTGTCGACTTAATTCTACATTCCATTGGTCGTGATGAATTAGTAGAACAGATCAATGAATGTCTAACTAATCTTCGCGAAAATTTGATGGCTAACAAAGCCGATATTGCTCAATTCGAAATTTCAAAGGTTGAAGAATTGCATCATTTTTGTTCATTTGTATTTTTCTGTTTTCTGTTTTTTATTTTTTTTTATAATTGCATTCTTGTTTTTCGATTTTTATTTTATGTTTTCATACTACAATCTTTTAGCAGTTGACAAAGGATCCAAATGAATATACTGATTTCAAAACACAACCACATGCTGCTGTTGCTAATCGCTTAAATGACACTGGATTATATCATTTCCATCATGGTGATATAGTCGAGTACATTATTTGTGAGGTGAGATTAGGTTTATTTATTTTTGAATCGCATTTGAATAAACTGGAACTTAAGTTAATAAAGGATCTATACGAACAGAATTTTTTTCTTTAAAAAATGGAATTAGATATTAATAAGGCATGGCAACGTCAAAAAATTCTCAGTGAAATGAAATTAGCCTCATTTAGTCGGTTAATACCAATAATGAACTCGTTACCATTTGAAATTCTTTCAAATCTTCCATTATTTTCCGCATTTTTGAATTCTGTTGAAAAGTTTTAGACCTCAGTAAACTCTTTTTTTTTCCTCTATTCATCTTATCCTCTATTTCTTATAACTTAATATCATCAGTTCTCTCCATATTTCATTCTTCGGATGGAAAAAGGGAAGCTGTTATGGTCTACGTGTATTACAAGTATTACGTGTATTATGACTTCTTTATAAAAAAATCAGCTGAAAAATTAATAATAATTTAGTATCCCTTCGTAACAAAAAGAAAAAAATAAAGTTTTAAAAAACATATCATAAAAAAAACAAAAAAGATGAAGAGTAATATTTTAATGAGGTTTGTTGGAATTTAGATGGTTACAACTTCATGGGTATAACACGATTTGAAAAGTTGCAATACTGGGGAATCATAACAATTGTAGGAGTATTATGAGAGAAATGCGATTTAATAAAAGTTTGTGGCAAAGCGATAAAAGGAGTCTAGGAGATGAAGTAATACAAATGGATTTGAAAAAGGAATATAAGAGGATTTAAAGGAGTTTAAGAAAAGTATTCAGCTAGATTAGGTGGGGTATATATAAGGGGAACACAGCGAGGTTGAGTTGCTTCAAGGAACCATTTGGGGAGATAAAAGGAGCGGTTTAAAAGCGATATACCAATTGATTGTGGCAGTACTATAGAATGTAGTGCTGTTTAAGGGAAATAATGGAGATATTAAGGGAATAACGAAGTTTCAGGAGGTTATTCACAAAACAACAGATTTTTAGGATGTCAGAAGGTTTCAATTCATAAAAAATATTAGAGCAGTTTGAGAAAACTGTCGTATTAAGCATTTTTATTATTTAGATAACGATAAAAATTCTTATTCGGAAATCTTTTAGGATGGTACTAGCAATTCACATTTGCAGAGAGCGTATCATAGAATGGAACTTGAAAACAACTCGGAGCTAAAAATTGGTAATTGGATTTCATCCTTTTTTAATCTGATTAGTGTTGATTATGTTAATTTTATTAGTTATATGTGATTTAATAACTTCAGTTGTTTCTCTGTCTTTTTCGGTGTTTTTAATTTTGTCTCTATTTCAGATTATCAGTATTATCTCGCTTATCAAATTTACCCGGTTGTTAGCCGGCTTTGTTCACCTATTGAAGAAATCGATTGCGTTAAATTAGCAGAAGCACTCGGTCCATTCTTTCTGAAGCCTTGCGCCAATGTGAACTTAATTTCAGAAATATTTAAGGCTTATTGGTTTGAAACGTTGAATTTTAGGTCTCGATTCGTCAAAATATCGTACACAAATTTCGAAACCAGTTGAAGCTGACATTATTGGCTCACAAACGCATGACTATAGTGAATATGGACATTGTGATCCATTTATATTTATTTGTCCATATGCCAGCTGTAAAAAAAAAATAATTGTTCGAGATATATCAGTGGAAAAGGTAAAATAAAATTAGTTTGATTCCAAATATACCTATTAAATACATTTAAATTTTTTATTAAATTAAATTTAAATTAAATTTTAAATTTCTATTAAATTTTTTTAGAATGATCATCTTCGTTTATGGTTAGAAAGATGTCCTTCATGCGACGGAAAACTGTTAACTTACAGCGCATATATCGTAAATCAAGTGAACAAAACACTAATTTCATATATAACTCGATATAATACTGTAACGAAAATATCTTTTATATTTTAAAATATATTTTTAAAACAATTTCATTTCCCTCAGGCAAAAGATGTTTTTTTATAAAATTTCTTTCGACCTTCCTTTATGAATTTTATTTTTTAATTTTGATTTCGAAAAATTGATTCAAATTATTTTTTTGCATTATTAGATTTAGTTATTTTCGATTTTTGATGAATTTTAAACCTCAAGGCTCACTTTGTATGCGATGATATTACTTGTGCATTTCGAAGTCGGCGTTGTCCAGCCAATTGGTCCAAAGAAGGAATTATATGTCCAAAATGTTCTAATGGATTAATGAAACGAGAGGTAAATGGAAATAATGTCCATTAATTCGTAAGATTTGTATTCTGTGGATGGGCAGTGTTTTCAGAGCTTGTGCTTGTATTTCTTTAAAATCGCTTAAAATAATGCCTGCAGCTCCGCAAAATTTTATTTATTTTTCCATGTTATTTGACTGTCGATTCCCATACTCCTTCAGCCTCACTCCTTTTTATGTTATTTTGTGACTACAAATTGATTTTATGATCGGAACAAAAATGATGCAGCATTAAGTGAACATAACAGAAGTAAGTGGCGTTAATATGTTACAAATGGTTATGTTTTTATTGGTATAAAAGGATAGTAATTTGTGGTAAAACAGAGCCGTTGAAGAAATTTACAAAACAATGTGTTTTAAAGATTTTGAGGAGATTTTAACAAAATAACAGATTTTTTGAAACGATTTCATTAGGGATTGGCCAAGATTTCGTACTTATCGATCGGTTGTTTTATTCCATATATATTGCCATCTTATGGATCTTTAACCTCGAGTATTCTGCCAAAGATCTTTAAGAATTTGAGGCTGCAATATTTTGGCTATTAATAGTAATGCATTATTTTGGGGAAAGATCTGATTTTGTTCCTAACATCTGCCAAATTCACATTTTTAGCTTAGCGATTACGAATCCTTCTACCATCACACGAATCATTTTATCTTTCACTTTCCATATCTTTAGTTTTTTTGTTTCTTTACTTCCTCATATCCTTTCTTCTTTATGTTCTTGTCACTTGATATTGCTGTAAATATTACATTGATACAAAGAATATTGGTGTCTTTTTTTTCTCGGTGTCAGCGACCTCAGTTATGTTTTATGTTTATAATTATGTTTGGTTATATGATCTTCAAGTATTAAACTTGAGATAAAAAATTTCTTGCACTGAGGAATTCCCTGATCTTCATTGGCAGACATTAGCATCTTCCACGTCTGTCCTTTAGCTATATATACTGGTATGTACATTATCCGATGATTAATAACGTATGTTTGTGGCGTGGGTCTTGTTTTCCCATTGAGTTGCGTAGCAAGGTCTGTTTCAGTCTTTGATAGTGTTTGGATCTTGTTGTCCCTTGTCTGCCTATTATAATTCCCATATAAATGTGGATCCTACTTTAAAAAATTCCTTAGGCTCCTACTTACCATGTATAGCGCCAGGCATTCATTCTTTTGCGACATTAATTTTCTAAAATCAGTTCAGAGTTATGCTCAGATTAGTCTGTCTAGTCTTTATATCTTGAACGATCTTCGGTTTTTTCTGAGCAGCTGGCTATTCTTCTCAATGTCATTTTGAACTATTTTCATGTACTTGTTTTATTGTCTTGTCTTGATAGCTATGAATTAATAGTATTTTTCACATTGTGGCGAGGTAAATTCGTCAGTAGTATTTGTTCTCTTACGATCAGTATCTATCAGTATCCTATGTTAAGCATCCTGGGGCATAACAAATAGTTGGCACAAACTGCTGGTTCATCTGATTTGCTAGGTGTTAATAGACCGTTGTTGTTAATTTCTTTAGCCAGTACGTATTTATTGGTCATGTCCGTACCAGATTTTGTCTAACTTCTTACTTCTTATGTTTTTCACTGTGCTTGGCGTTATGATGGTAATTGATTTCTGCTCTGGCTGTATGGCTTTCAGGTCTAATAAGTTAACGGGAAATCTTTAAAAATTTTTTTCGGAACATGTTGCATTGGGTGTAGGTATTTTTTTTCCACATATTCTTCAAGTGTTGTTCAGTTTCTTATGTTGGTAGCTGTAATGTATTATTGCGCTATAGTTTGGTCAAACTGTGGGTATATTTGTGTTTGGGTAAGTGAGTAAGCGTGGGTAAGTCTATTGGCTTGAGATTAAGATTAAGTCATATACATGTATTATGGAGAGATTGTTATGGAGAAAGAGAAAGGTTCTGAAATAATATTTTGCCTATTTTAGTTTGTCTGTTCCTTTTTTTTCTGCTCCTCATCTTTCGACGAGATTTTTAGTTGCGCTTGCTGCTTTATAAATTAACTGGATACTCAAAAAAAGCACACGATTTAAAAATGTTGATAGGCATAACATAGGCTTACTGAACATAGAACATAGAACATAGAACATAGAACCTCAAGTAATTTAATATTGCTCTTGAATTTACGATCAAAAACGGTTTAATTTTTAAAGAATATTTTCAGTATTCATCGAAGATGCTATTCGAGCAGCAGTCATTTTACCGTGCATTCATTCAAGATACAAAGGATTTAAAGGGTTCTTTACAGGTTAAAAGTAAGTGAAGATAATTCGAAAAATTAAAGTTTAACAATTTTGTACTCTTATTTTTACAGATTTGTTTAGGCCAATAATATTGATTTGGTACTTACGAATTTACTATTGATAAATTAACGGAAAATCTTTAAAAATTTTTTTCGGAACTGGTCTTACTTTTGGTCAATAAAATGATGAAAAAATTGTAAAAAAAATTGTAAAGAGGGTAATATAGTTATTATTTATCTGTATTTGTATATTACATCTTTTTTCAGCACGGTTGGCATCAACAGGAGATTACATTGAAATCAAAAATTTGTGCAACAAAATTTTGGCAAGATGTGACCGTTTTCTTTCTTTAAACGATTTCAATCGTGTTTCCTTAGCTTATTTGTTTTCAAGTATGCGAACTTAGTTTATTGATTTTTAATTTGTAAAATTTAAATTTTACAAATGGATGGAAATATATGAAGGTTATTTATTGTTTGCAGTTTTATATAATAGAAGTTATAACGAGAATTTCGCAGTAATTTTTTCCATTTCCACTTGTAAACGAAATGAAAATTTTGTTGATTAGTTATTTTTGAAATTTTGTTAGTTTTCTTTTTTTATGATAGTTATTTGCATTCATACAATGTGTCTTTGATGAAGCAAATGAAGAAATGTGATTTTATAAAAAAACGTGTTTTATAAAAAAGGATAAATCGGAAAATAAAAGCGCTTACATACATTTTAAGTGAAATATGTGTTTTAACACAACACGTAGTCTTTTCGTGAGACTTTGGTACTCTCACCATTCCTCAGCGGCAATTCCTCGCTGCGCAGATGTTTTGTACGCCGAAGACTGTTTTGCCGCGAGTACCACGTGCAGATATAAGTGCGGGTTCCTCAGTGCCGCCTCAGCATAATGCTTCAATTGCCATTTAGTCGTTATTTATTATTTGTTGCAACGATAATGACAAATTTGGATATTATTTTGGTTAATGTTCGTTGATATCAAAGATGCGCAAACTTTGCATAATAAACCACAGTACTCGCATTGCGCTGCAATAATTTAGTTTCAGTTTGTGGCTGCGGCCGCGTTCTGTTATGAAATGCAATTGTTAAAATGGCAGGAGGCTAGCACTTTAATCTGAGAGGTTAGGCTGATTTTTAGAAATGGTTTGTATCCGCGCAATGCTTTTACTTTTTATTTTCAACGTTTGTATGATGGGTCTTCGTTCACCGTTTTTTCATTCTTTGCGTTTTTGGGATTTTTGGTTTTATCGATCAGTTTGCTTCATTTCCAAGAGGAATGGAAAGGGAGGCCGTCCAAACAATTAAATGGTCCGGTTCCCGTTCCGGATTCCTGCGTTATGGCAGCTCATAGCCGCAGCCGTCGCACAAAGAGCGGGTGATTAGTAATTTCCTTGCAAACGTTTCTAACTGTGTTAGCAGCCAGCCAGACTAACCATAAATCATTAGGGTTGCCAACTTTTTTACTTCATTCAGAAATTCAATATTAATTTTTTTTTGTGTGCTTTAATGTAATGTTTCCGCTTTCGAGGAGTATGAAATTTTTGAAAAATTTGAAGTTTTTGAAATGGCGATTTAATCGATTAAATTGGTTCGGAAAAAAATTTTTTTATTGATTGTCATTTAATTTTGCGCATGTGGCAACTCCGCTGTTTTTCACTGAGATCCTCTTAGTGTTCTGTTCTTAGGTGCCGTCGTACTCCCTAACTTGGGGCAGTGGAGTAAGAAAAGGGCTGGAGAGAGGAGGTGAAAAACCCCACGAGGCTTGCTGAATTGAAGATGGGCCACCCCAAAAGTAGCCATTTGTCATCTATCCAAATTGTCCAAGGTCATAGTTATTTGGCGGAGTTTTAAGAATATCTCTCAAATATCGATATAATCCCTTAACGTCGTTATAGACATCGATGTGTTCTCTTAATATTGTCCCTTTTATTTTCCGTTAGCCTTTGCTTCGTCGTGAACTTGAACCTTGTTATGCTCCATCATTCTTAACATTCCTTATTCACTCTTTTAATGTCTTCTTTTTGAATCTCCGCAAATTTCTGTTTGGTAATTTTCACTAATTTTACTGGTTTGCTTGGAGAAACATATGGGAACAAAATTGTCAGTTTCGCTAGAAGAACGTTTTCATCCCGAAATTTCACCACGTGCTGATCGTCCTCCAACTTTTGACCCTCTTTATGGTTTCCCGAGAGGGAGAAAACCACGTGAAATGGTTGCCACATGGGAAGAAATGGAACAGTGGAATTTGAATCGTGGCCAGCGTGATTATTGCGCCCACAAACTTATTGATCTGTTAAGATGTCAGGTAAAATTATACAAATGATGTCGCTTTTTTAAAAAATTTCAGTTGGTTGAATAGGTTAAGTTTAAAATTAGGTAATAATATAATAGTTAATAATGCTATTTCCCGTTCGTCTAGCTATGTTGAATAAATACTTGAAGACAGAAATATAGATGGGTTGCCAGCACCACTCTGATTTCAATTTTAATGGCTGGTTTACTCTCAAGAAATATTAATTGGACTTGATGACTTGTTTGGGACACCGTACCACTCAATGGTACTATCAATTTATTAATTGTCGAAAACATGATTTGCAAACAAATAAACAAATAAGGAGATTTGTTTCCAAAAATCATGAATTAAAAAAAATTGGATTAAAAAGATGAAAAAATTTAATTTCGCTGATAAAAGTAAGATTTTTAGTTTGAAAAAAACGTTTTGCATTATACCGATGAATTTATATGGTTTATAGTTTCCGATTTCAATTTAGAATGTTTTTTTCAGTTTTTTGTTTGTAAAATTTTATTAAAAAAACTTCTTTCCTTTAAAATTATGGAGAAGGCTGACATTGTAGAGAAGTTCGAAACCTTTCGCCCACTATTATTGCGTTGATGAACGTAATGCTTATGATAAATGTGAATATGATGATCAAATAATGAGAATCAAAGAATTCGAACGAGAACGTCGGCTTTTAAAACGTATGGCTAGGAAAAAAGCGGCAGCAGAAGCAACAGCGTAAATTCGACGATTTCTATGGTTATTTATTAGTATTCTTGAATTTCACAAATCCATAAAATTTGTTATTTTGATTTAAAAAAATTGTCAGCTATTTTCTTGGAAAATTTGTGAGCTTTGTGTCCATGTCATTGCGCAATTTTTTTATTCGTTTTCATTATTGCTGCAAGTAACTTCTAATATTTTATTAATAGAAGTGATGGGTGTTTTCTTATAAATTTTTTTAAATAAAAATTTCCTTGAATTTGTCGAAAATAAAGGTCCTTTGCCATTAATACATTGTTTAAATTTTATTTCACTATTCGTCATATTTGCAATATTTATCTGCGAAGTTGCTGTAAAAGTCATTACAGTAGATTATGAATTGATGTCAAAAATTACTTTTTAGTTCTTGAAATTGATTTTATTCAATATAAAGTGAATACTATGAATGTGGATGTGAATCGAATTTTCGATCAAGAATATTTGGATGGTAATCTTATCGAATTAGCTGATTATTTCTCGAAGTTAAATAGTTCAAAATCGCCTGAAAGTGATTATAAAGAACTTGCGTGGGCATGTTTGGCTAAAATTGTCTATCAGTGTGAACCATCTCGATTGAAATCAATTTCTTCGAGGTTGCAAGTCAGTTTTTTTACATTGGTATTTCGATATGTAATGATAAAATTACGGTTTAGGCACTTGGGAGTGTCTTTTGAGTGTTTTTAATTTTTCTCGTTCAAGTTAAAATCGGATTGATATGCTTAAAATGATTTTCGATAGAAAAAAATGTACCACTTTTTTAAAGGTTTGATCTTTATTATTTGATCTAATTTAAGTGATAAGTGTGAAATTATTGAGATTCCAGATTTTTTTTTCAGAAGAGGTTAATCGATTCATCTAAACAACCATTAACAATCGCTTTATTGCATTTTCTTCGGGCATTGTTGAAAAAATTACCATGGTTGAAATCGAGCAATGCAGAAACTTTTTCTATTTTAGTAGCAAATGCCATAGATTTAGCGGTTGAGACGAATGGTGAAGAAATCATTTTGTATGATTTTGGCTATTTTATGCGTGAATTTATTTTTTCGTTTTTTCCATAAAAATTTTTATGGTAAACTTTTTTTTAGATTAGCAACTGATATTTTTGTTTTATTTGCTGAACACAAATTTGAGAAAGATTTACTAACAGCATTAAATGGTGCTTTGGTTGATTCGCTTGAAACTGAAGTTAAATTAGAACGTATAAAGCTTTCATCATGGAAGATGCAAAGTAATCGGTCAGCTTTTATCAAAATGGCTTTTCGTATTCATTCAGCAGTTATAGAAAATCACCACCCAGGTATTTTCTGAGTATTTTTTAGTAGCTTTTTATATTGAGCCTTATTTGATTATTTGATTTGATTTTTAAGATTATTTATTATCCTGTTGAAGTCAGGACTTTTCAGGATATATTATAATAAATCGTTGTAGCTACTTTAATAATTCTTTCTTTTAGATACGTTGATATCGGTAAGCGTATGGCTGAGCCACGCGGATGATGCTCTCTCTCTGAATATTCCTGAGGTAAATGAGGAAGTTTTCGGATGGTTGAAAAAAATTATTAAACATACGGGATTGGCCGTTTTAAATATATCTGATCATATAATCAATCTCTTAACTCAATACTGCAGACCTTCTACAAATTTTTATTCATGCGTTAGAGCATTAGCCGAAACTGGTTTATCTTCGTCCGGCTCTTCTTTTATTAAAATTATCGCCAAATCTGCGGAAAGTCCTCTTCATTTACAAGTACGAATTTAAGAAAAAATTACTTACTTTTTTAATTAATTAATTACTTCAAGTAAAATCAGTTTATCCTGAACAATTTATCCTAAAATATTAATCATTAAGTGTTGTTGGTGTCTTATGGATTCATGTCATCATTAGTAATGTTTTATTTTCCTTATTTTAGGATTATGGCGAAGCATTCGCTGATGCTGTAAGCTCCTTTTTAATATATCGTACATCAGTTTGGAATGTTCACGATGTCAAAGAATTACAACAGTGGATTTGCCATGAAGTGTTATTAAATCCTGATTCTATTCCTGCTCTGAGGATACTTATAGCATTGTTAGCTTGTAATCATGAATTAGTTCCAATACCTATCGAGGTAAAGTATTTTTCATTAATTTCTGCTTATTTATTGATTTTTTAAATCGCTTTTTATAAATATTAATTTTGCTTCCAAGCTAGACTACCCATTGCTGTCCATAATTTTATTGGCTAATTACTTAGTTCCTAAAATAATTTTACAAAGATCTTAAATGCAAATTTTATTTTGGTGTTACTCGTATGATTAATTGGCTATCAGGATGAAATTGTGATTTTCAGGTCGCCCAAAATATTTTTTGGCGCTCAACTGATGATGAGCGGATTGAACGTGAGATGGAACGTGGGCGAATACTGTGTAATCATATCTCCCGTCCATGCATGACATCCGTTTTACAATTCAAGAATTGGTTAATTAAATATGATTCCGATGGAGGATTAAATGATTCAGAAGCAAGAGATACCATTCCTCTAGAAAGGCGAAGAAGAAAAAGGCAGGAAATGTATATGGGAGAGGTTAATCAAAATACATTAAAAATTGCCAAGTATTCAATCGATGAGCGAAAGAAAACTGCTGAGGCTGACCAAACTGGAACTTATGAGAATTTCGCTCATATTACGAACAGTTCGAACTTTAATGGTAAAGATAAAAGCAAGCAGGAAGATTTTGCAGTCAATTTGATAAGCAATAATGTGGACCCTATTGATATCATTATTATCGAGAGTGATGTGGCTAAGAACAAAGCCAGTTCGCATCCTAATCAAAATGCACGAACTGTTGGTAACTGCAATTCGGATGCAATGCCAAGAAAGGGTCAGACCGTAATAACTTCAACTGATGGCAACGAAATTAGTGTAGAACAAATGTTAGCTGATTTCGATCCTTCGTGATTGTTGATATTTTGTCTAAATTTTAATTTTTAAAATTTTTGACTCCATTTTGGTTCTTTATCCTTCAAATGATGAAGCCTCTTGTGGATGGTTCTTTATCCTTTTTAATTTAAAGCAAAAACTAACACAATAAAAATGCAGGTCATTCGCACTTTGTTTATCCAGGTTTCCAGTTATTTTTCCGCTTTTTTAATTTTTTGATAGAATACGAATACAAGTACAATTTTGTTATTATTTTGTTATTTTTCATATTGTTATATATTTTGTCGTTTTTTGGCAATAAATCTTATACTAATTTATCTGTCACATATTTATTTTAACTTTTTGGTTGTAAAATTGTCATTAAAACTGAGTCTAGTAGTGATGTAACTCATAAACAGCTCCACGGCTAAGAGCATGTTAGAGATCAGTGAGGCCAACCAAATTAAAAGTGAATATAGAAGATTGAAGAAATAGCGACGTTAGAATTTTTTAACTATTTTTTTCAAACGAAGGTTTTCATTTTTTTCAGTGAACTGATTCCGTAATTTCATTTGGAGTTTTTGGATCGTTGAGAAGCGGTACCATAATAAATTTCTTGGTTTATTTTCATTTTAAATTGATTTTCGGGGATGCGAATTTTAGAAAAAGTTTATAGTGATAAAAACTTTATCCTTGCAATTCGCTACCTTTTATTCTTTCTAATCGTTGTCTTAAATTTAGTTTTTAGTTCTAATTGCAAATGACTGCTAATGAATGCTTCGAATTTCGGTTTCCCATCGATTTTTAATTTTATCTAATGGATGAACAAAAATTCGTAGAAATTTCAAGGTTTCTGCATAATGTGCATCGCTAAGAAATGGTTGACTTTATTCTATGCGATTTTTCTTTCTACCGCTAATCGTTTAGGTATTTCTTTATTTCGCTTTAAAATTAAGAAAGCTAAAAAGAAATGAGTAAACGCTTTAGTCTGTGATAAAACAATTGCAATAGTCGCAAAAATTTTTTATATGGTTAATAATAATTATGAACTCGGCCAGAGAATTACTTATGAGCAGAAAGAAGCTGTAGGATTTTAAGAGCCCTCGCCAGAGAATTACTGGTTTGACTCGCTCCGCCGGCTCATTGCACTGGACAAATATGCCAGAGAGTCCATTTTCGATAGAAGTGCAGGTGATCCTGCAAGGAATAGAACTCTAGCATGTGCGCTGTGAATTGGGCGACATCCCACTCAGCTATTCCATCCTCGAATTTATAGGATTGTTCGCATTTTTACAAAACTCTCGCTAATTATGATAATAATTTTATTAATAATTTTGATGGTGAATGATGGCAAAAATAATGAATTAGTGATTTTAATGAATATTTCAGTTGTATTTTTAAATGAAAACAATAGATCGATGTTTAATGCAATAGCAGCGTATCATGGATTTGCAAATATCACAATTTTTGAACGTGATGACAAACCAGGTTCGGTACCAAAGACTGGTAAGTTGGTTGTTTCCTTTAAAATTAAATAGATTATTTCAGTATAATCTGGTTCTTTGTGCGCATTTCCAGTACGCGAATTAATTTAGAAAAAATTTATTAGATTGCTATAAAAATCAAAAAAAATACTGTCTCGAATACTGAAATAATTTTTATAGTATGCCAACGATTAACCGATGAAAACATAATAGTTTATGGACCAGAAACTTACCCTGCCAATCTGCTAACAGCAAATTATGCAGGCTTATATAGTGTGCCGCATTTTTATCTACAGCCAATTGATCCACTCAATATACCTAAAAGTTATAAAGAAAGGTAAATGTTTCCTTATTAAAAGCGAACACTATTTTTATAAGCATCTTGCAGGTCCTTGGGTAAAAAACTGCTAAAAGCTTATATAACACACGTTAAATATGAGACTATCGTATACTAGAATCATGCCAGCTTGAACACCCTCCTGGTTCACAATCGTTGAGGAACTAGGACTACCTGATGGTAAGTGATCTATTGGGACAACGCTGGGATGAGGAACCAGAATGCAAAGTAGCTTCAGAATCTGAGAAAAAACCACAGCAATTTCCCAGAGCAGAAACTATCAAATTATTATCATCATAGCAGCATTAGCAATACGGGCCAGTTGAGCCAACTGCTAACAGAACATTTTCACTTATACTGGTTAACATAAAGAAGGATGGTACTGATCATAAAAGATCCTAGTAAGGGAATAGTGCTGTCCAACTACTTGCCACTATTTGGAATAGCTATATGATTGTAAATATATAGGATTATTGGTGATAAAAAAACTGTTGTTTAAGGCAAGATTTTTTGGACTGAGGTTCGCGGACCAATTAGAGGCAACGAAGAACATGGTGTATTTCTAATATGAAGACTAGATAATAGATATCGAAGTAATGCTCTTGTTTGAGGGCGTTAGGAAGTGGACGGGATGGAAAAAAGAGTTAGGGTAGAAAATGGAAGGTTTGGTTTGTAGTTTTTATTTATCACTTTTGGATGTTATTTTTAGGTTTTCGTATTGCCTTCGCACGTCACCTTCCCTAGGCCACAAGCCAAACTTTTAATTTGTTACTCCCATTTTTTTAACTACCAGGCAAACCTGCAAATGATCAAGGAAGAAATCAAGGAAGAAATGTAATTTTTCTACCCTACCATTTTCTACCCTAACTCTTTTTTCCATCCCGTTGCATATCGAATGTCGAATATTGTTTTATTCAGTTGCCAAAAATGAGATAATGTGCCTGATTTGCCAAAAAAATACCACTGAATGTACGATACGTCTAAACTGAATGATTCTTCAAGAAGAGTGGTATGAACGATAAAAACATCTTATTTTCAAATGCTCAAGGATCGATTTCTAAAAGGAAGAACATTGAATGATATATTTTGAACTAATCCAAATCCAAAGTTGTGATACGTTTCCTTGCTTTTTCCTAAATCGAGGAAATCGCACGTAATTGATGAAGAACTGATCCAACCTTCTATTACCAAAGTCATGCGCACTGTGTTAGGCAAATTATCATCAAGAAAAATACTTTTGAGCACAAATGCAGTGCAAAAGAGACGAATTGGTGATATGGCTGCTGATGTTCAAAATTCAATGTAACTTATTTTTCATTGTAGATAAATCTGTTTTGCCAGACAATGATGCTTTGCCATTAGCTTGTTCTATCTATAAATGGTGAAAAAAATTTGCTGATAGTTTTTATTCACTAAAGATTTAATGGTTGATATTAAAGGAGAATCGATATTCCTTGCAGCGAAGACTCTTTGAGGGAAAAGGAAATTTCCCTGAAGAATATCACTGCTGCTGATAGTGCTTTGCTTCGGTAGGATGGGCTCATGGGTTCTTTTATTTGAAAAGGGCCAAGTGCATTCGCTGTGCTTTAAATAATTCGTTGAAAACTTGCGAGAAATCTCACTGATCCCTCCTTACGTTGCCTAGTTAGAGCAGTTAATAAGATAAGAAGGAGTGCTCGCACTGATAGGTTATTTGGACCTCTTCGCACGAGGATGATGATACACTCGTTTGCGCTTGCATAACGAAGTACTGTCAATCGAACAGACGATATCTTCGACTCAGTTGATAATTAACTGATGTTCCAGAACGAGATAGCCTATTCGACAGATTTTTATGGTAAGTTCAGCGAAATCCAACCGCAAGAAGATGAACTTAGCTATTAAAACTTCCTTTTTATAGGTGCAACTTAAAGAATTTCGTAAAGAATCTCCAGTTTTCGAACCTTCTCCGTAGGAAAAATTGACGGAGATATTTTGAATCGCTGCACTTCAGCACTTGGAGGCATCCTTGGCTGACTTTAATGCTGATGTCCTTATTTATTAACATGAAAAATGAAAACACCTAACTGAATTTTAGCTCCATTTTCAAATAGTAACGAATTAGAATTAGCACGCAAGAAGAATAAATCAAATAATTAACAAACAATAAAAAGCAGAATTAGAATTATGAGCAAAATTTATAAAAAGTGGATGACTTCTGCCACCAACTTTTTCCGAACGGTGAAACGGCCATGGCAAAAAATTTCTTCTCCATTTCCCTTATCTCATTTAGCAGAACGGAACGTGAATTTAGTGCAATAACAAACCTGTTGGCGAAAAAGAGGAGTAAACTCCATAGAGCTGAACGTAGAGTTGGAGACTGAGATTGACAGAAACTGAGCAAATAACAGCACATCGGGCACGAATTTCTATTCATTTTCATTTGATTCTCTTCATGATTATTTTCATGATTTTTATTTAATTTTGATTTTGATTGTTTCTTCTTTACTTTCAGTTTATGTGATTGGTTTTTGTGCTTTATTTATTTATTTATGCGTAAAAAATTTATTTTTATTCCTTTAAAATAAATTGCTTTTTAAAATAAATAACAACTTTAAAAAATTGGTTTTTTTATTTTAATTATTTTCACAATTTTCAAAGATTTAAAAATTGAATGCAAATAATATTAGATCTGATAGCACTGGTGATAAATAAAGCAATACCAGTGGTAAGAATGCCAAAAGAAAATGAGAAGATGGAGAAATACCAGTGCCTGAAGGAGGGGAAAAATGTAAAATGAAGACCAAAGTGAGGAGCAGTCGGGCGGTGAGCCCCAAGCTAAAAAAGTCTGCAAAAGATTCCAGGAATATCAGAGATTTCTGTCTAGAAGAGCGCTTTGCCAGGAGTGAGTATGATATAAGCGATGAACGTTTTAAAAAGGATCCGAGATTGAGAAAGGCATACAAGAAATTTTTTTATAGGAGTTGGAAAAAATTTCAACTATAAAAATGAATTTTAAAATTTTTCCTATAATTTCAGAACGATCGATCTATTCCCAACGCCTCGAATTATTTCAAATGTACTTATTTCAATCGTGAATCATTACAAATGGACATCGCTTGTCCTGCTTTACAGAAATGCTTCTGGTATAATTTTTGTTTCATAATTTTTTAATTATAAATAAAGGCAGAATGGCCGATCGTTGTCGCTCGTTATCATCTCGAACATGGGGTCTGAATTCTATCTTCCGCAGAGGTAAACTCACTCCCATCACCTACAAGGCAAAAATTTCTAGCATTAAAAGCTCTAACAGATGGTCGAGCGAACTTCATGAAAAATGATGCTTCCTTCAATTAACTATAAACGTGATTCTTTTCTTTATCTTCTTTCAACAGCATTCACCATTTATGCTTTGGCTTGCTCGGCCGGTTGTTAGATAGAGACGCTTTCACTCGGAAATGGAGGCAGAAATTGATAGCACAATCCGTTTACATTGTTTAGATTCCTGCTTATTAACATCAACTTTTTAGCCTTCTGAATTTCTTTCAGATCTTACTGATCTCCAACATTTTGTTGCTGAAAGTCATTTTCCTCGATCGATTCAGGTTTTTCCTTATGAATTAAATTAAATGAATGACTGATGAAATTTCACAAATTTATATTTCTATCTTAATAAGTTCTGAAAGTCGAAAATTTCAGTTTTTGAATTGTTCTTATCTCAGATAATAATGCGTTCATTACCAACGAAAAATAGATACAGAAGATTACTGAAGGAAATTCGTGATCTCGATGAAATGCATATAATTCTTCATGCAGATACGAATGCAATCATTCCATTTCTTTATCAAGCTTATCAACAATCAATGTGTACATCGCCTTATCATTATGTCATCACGAATTACGTATTTCTTTCAATTTTTGCAACATTGCAGATTCTAATAGTCCTACTTTAACTGAGTCCAAAAGCTTTTAAGATAAGACCATATCACAATACCTTGGAAATAGCGTCACCATTTCACCTATCAAGAAGAATGAATTTTAAAGGAATATAACGAGCTCATAGTGAGGGATTTGATATAATCTTTTCGTCTGAAGCCTCACATCATTGCTATTCAGGATTATTCCTTTGATTACCAGGTCAGAGGCTATTTATTAAATAATGGAGGTGCCACTTCTTTCTCCACTTTTCAAGTACATATGCCAGAAGTAATTAAAGCTATTCAAGCGAAGATGGATGCGTTCCCATCTCTAAGTTCTATCCGCTTGGCGAGTATTTTAATGTATTTTTAATTTTTACCTTAGGCGAGGATGCAAAATCATATAGCAAAATTATATATGTTGCCACCAGATAAATCCCAACTTTCGTCTTTGTTTAATTTTACGATAATTCCACAGAATTTTCGTCGAAAGGAAGAAGGCATTTCTGGCTGCAACTATCCAAGGTGGAATTTCGTTTTTCGCTAGAACTGTAATTAGAACATCATTAAAACAAAATGGGAAGTGGCTGAGAGGGAGAGAGGGATTATGGTGTAAGCATGCCGTGGAATTGCAAAGGATGTTTCGGGACATGACATTGCTTCATGAGACACTAAGAGATTATGTTAAGGAGTTAAAATGGGATATCAGAGGAGTTGAAGAAATACATATGATATGAGCATTTAATGAATGAATATATTATACATTTTGGCAGTAAGTAAGAAGAAACTAGGTGCGATGAAGATCGCGATTTCATCATGATTTCCATAACTTAAACTCAGTTAAACTAGCAAACTTTGAATGAATTTGAATGTTTCCTTTCCAAGATACATATATTACCTTAGAATTCTCGAATGAACAAAATTTATTAGGATGCGATGACTTTGGATTTATCCGTACATCCGATCGATGCATGTAATGTGACTGTTGTTTCATTTATTGATATAAGATCCAAAGAAGTTGCAGCACTTCGAACTCATCTTCAAAAATTTAATATAACTATACCACAAAATTCAATTAATGTGAGCATTTTTTATCGAATATTTTGCCATTATTTTGGACCATCCGAATTAATTTATCAAATACTATAACCATTAAATTATGTGTCAATAAACAATATATTTCAGGATTTTCCTATATTTTTCAATACTAAAGTTCTTTTATTTTTAAGTACTTTAGAACTGTAAAGTAAAATTTCTAAATACAATTTCTTATGAATTTTATCAATTGTATCATTTTATCATTTTAAAAAGAAAGGATTTTATGGCATTAATGGCAAAATTGAAGGTAGAAGCTGCTGTATGGTCAGATAGTTTGGCATTGTTAAAATCCGTATTAAGTCGGGCAGATAGAATGAATCTTGCAGCTGAAGAATATTCTTTTTGTGATCGACCTCATCCTTATGGAGAAAGAATTATCAGTTCATTAGTGAAGGTTCTAAAAAACATTTCTTATTTTTCTCTACGAAAAAATTTTCATGTTAAGGTAGAATGAAATGTGTTTTCGCTGAAATCAATAGAAATATTTATTTAATCTATAAATTTTTTAGAGAATTTAACTAATTTATCTTTTATCTAATATTTTAAGACTAAAAAAATATTTTAAATATTTTGTGCGATAAAAATTAAATCGCAATATTCGAAACATTCTTTAAATTTTACGAAAACGTGTCGCATCTTCATAAATCATCTGGGTTTTACGACAAATTTATTTTGAAAATTCCTTACTCTAAGCGGGAGCACGACTATTCACGTCTTCCTGATTAGATTACCAAGTATATTATTTAAGAATTTCTTCTTTAAGTTTAAATTGCAGGCGCGAGTTAAGAATTCGATAACTGGGCCGATTGCTTTAAATATTCATGGTAAAAGAGCTAATTTT